ACATGTACATAATTTTCTGCATCCAAATTTTTGTTGACTCAAAATCAAAAGTGATGATACCTGTGACAGTAATACAGTACGAAATGTGTACATCAGCATGTGCCTCCTACAAATTAAGACTTGTTGTTTTTTTGATACACTGTGGTTAAATTCGTGTGGTTTTAGCAGCATTTTTTTTTTTGGCTGAAATTTTTTTTTTCGCCCTCTCGCATTAGTTTTGGGGTCTTCAGAGGATGTCATCCATAAAATTAAATCAGTGTGGCCCAAAACATGTTGGAATCTGTAGGTGTTGTTGGTGGTGAAAGCTTCTAGAAATGAGTTTGGCAAGCTCCAGTTGCGGTCATTATGGTATCTGGCTGCATTTAATCTGAAAGCCTTGTCATATGCAAGCCATGCCTCGGGTTTGTAATTTGAAGCATGCTTGTCAATGTTGCGCAGGTAATTTAATAACGGAATTGCTTCCTCTGGATGGTAATACGAGCGGTATGCGGCGAAACCAGCGAAACATTGGACCCACGTTGCGAAGCTGTCGATTTCTTTCTTCTTAATATGTGTGATAAAGCTAGCAGTTGATGGATTGCTAGGGTCAAAACTTATTGATGTTTTCATTGCATCGGATATGTTGGGTAAGGTAACGTCGGGGTGAGTTCTTCCATGCTTGTAGGCGTCGCCGTGGTGTCCGCTGTCGAATTTATGTCGACTGAGAGCTTGCTCTGATAACGTGATGGACGTTGAGCATTACGTCGTGGCCTTCCTTTGCCTTTGTTTCTTGTAGATGATACGTTGCTGCCAGCTCCCTTGGATTCTTTGTTCTTGGCATGTCTGGCAAAGGTCGATTACGAAAGTTGGTGAATTGGTAAAGAGTAAAAGTGGCACAAAATAGTTGATTGAACTGGCGGTGAACTTGAACAAAACTTGAGACGATATGGACTACGTGGAAAGCAGGAGACGAATGAGTGGTGTGTCAAAGGAAAGGGACGCTAACAATGCAGGCATGTAATTGGTAAATGAGGATGACATAAGGGATAAAGCCAAGGATAGGCTGAGAATGTGGACATAGCAAGTCAAGGGTCATGACTGATGAATATATGTGTAATGAGGTAAACATAAGACAAAGTGTAGAGATATACCACTGATAAGGAATCGGGTCAGATTGGTAACAATGACAAGAGAAATGGCTAGTGAAAAAAATGATGAATGCTCATTTCCAGGCGTTAACACCAATTAAAGTCTGCTTATTTAATTGTGACATATTAGAGCAATTATTGCAGATAGAGACATTCAACAGTGCTTTTGAGAAAACATTGGGCTCATGATCTAATCAACATTTTCAATAACCATATATGATCATGTGACCTAATTAAAAATACTCAATTATCATACACTATTGCAGATTCAACCAGTGCTATAATGAAGTTTTTGTACTCATGATCTAATCAACATATTCAACCCACATATAGTCAAGTGACCCTATTGAAAATGAAAAACTATTATATCTGGAGCATCTATTGCAGATTCAACCAGTGCTTTATTGAAGACATTGGGCTCATTATCTGATCAAGATGTTCAATAACCAATTGAAAATTCAAAACTGTGATATTTGGAGCACTTATATTGCAGATATATACATTCAAGGGTGCTTTTGATGCCAAGAGATCTTCTTGTTATACATTTGACATAGTGATCTATATAAACATACCAGACCTGATTTAAGTTCTTTATCCTGTGAGATGAGCAGAGTTCACATTAATTTTCCATTTGTATTGAATATATTCACACATTGTCTGATTTATTCCATATAGGCACCATGGGTCCAGAAAAGGTTCCAACAAAACCAGAATTAGAGCAAGGCACATTATATAGCTTGGACAAAGACCATAATGTAAGGTGTCACTTCGATAAAGTTAGTATATCAAATGGGATAGCCTGGAATTCAGACAACACGATTATGTACTTTATTGATACACCTCTAAATAGAGTGGATGCATTTCACTTTGATCTTGAACAAGGAACGTT